GTGGGGGAGGCACCTGTGCTGACTCTTTGTTGAAGGAATTATCTCCACAGCTGCTGCTGCAGGCCTTCTCATTTTTGGTAGATAGCTTGAAGCTACTACTTCAAAGTATGTTGGTGAAAATGTCTTCCATCCCAGGTACTGCTACACAATATCACCGGAGAGACTCTCAATGAATGTAACTACATGGATGTCCTCTCAATCCACTAATAGAATTGCTGGATATGCTTTGCAATAGGCGCAAATCGTCTAAATAGGTGGCTAGTCCTTTGGTGGTGTCCTCTTTTTATCCCTAAACTCGGCCTGCTAAATCACCCGATTTTCTGCTGGGTCTGATTGGCAGTGCAGCTCATACAAAACAGTTGTCCAGTTATTTAGTTTCCTTTGTCTAAGTCCTTATCAGTTTCGAGTTTTGGATCACTCAAACTCAGGACCGTGCATTGAACAGCTTGTTTCAGAATCCATCCATTCCAAGCTTTGATCTGCCTGAAATGTCTAAGAAACTGATCCAAGTTCTCTTTTGTAGTCCCCATGAAAGTCAGAGGCGTGATTTGTTTGCCTTATTCACCAGACCCTGCATGCCAAGCCAAAACCTTTCCTTCTCATACTGACCCTTGTCGTTATTCTTACTCTTCTTGGAGGCTGTTCACTGGCATTCACTCTATGGTGCCTGTCTGTAGGTTGACACATTGCTTATAGTGGCGCATCATACAGTCCTGGTCGACATCAATTATTGGAGGCTGTCACTGATTCAATGGCAAACCTCTCCTTTTTCCTTTATGCCTCGGACTATGGGTTATGGTGTGCACCTATGTGTGCCTGCTGCCTCACCTGTTGGGGAAACAATTTAACTAGCAGAATTCCTCTACCAACGGCATGTCCAGCCTCTATCCACTAGTCACTTGTGGTTTCTGACTGGAGACAGGGCTGTTGTGCTCTGAATGGCAATGGATTTGGAGTTTGTTAAATATTTCTTCATGCTATCTTGAATTTGCCAGGTAACCCACCATTTCAATAGACATCAGTCGTCCACACTTTCCTGTTGCTGAGATTAATTCTCAGTAACACAGCTTGATCACATAGTCTGGGTGCAACAGATGTGGACAGATCTTCCTGAGTCAGCAATTGCAAGCAGACTGATGTCATTGACCTTCACAGTATTCACAAAACTTCTATGTCCAGGAATGTAATCCTCATAGATGCTACACCTGCCCCGCTCAATCATCTCTCTCCACAAACTAACTTTGCTTCTTGCCCATGAGTACTTTCACACTCACAGAAAGTCATTATTTTCATGGAAGCTTTACTTTAAACTCAATTTGCAATAAATTGAGTTAGATCGTGTATGTGCTTTACCTTACCACAAGGGAAACTCTGCAATAAATCCTGGTGTCACAGCACACAGTTTTTGTTCCTGTGTACTTGTAGTATTTTTTATTCAAACTGTTTTTCCAACAAGTATCATACAGGTAAGCCCACAATAATAGCAGCGCTCATCCAGGAAATTTGCAATGATTTTGTGTTAGAGACAACTGGGTAGAGTGTTCTTCGTATTTTATAAATGACGAAGTTGGACACGTTTTGAACAAAGAAACAGATAATAATAAAAAAAGAAAACCAGTACATGTACTCACTGAGGATGAGGTGATAGTCCTTTCTTTTTTAGTTGGTGTTTAGTCCTGTCGCTTTCTTTCACTCAAAGTCAAATGCTTCAACATTATACATGAAGATATTACGGAAAAAGAACAGATCATTTCTATTTGTCAACTAATGGAAAACTGAACCAAGCAATGTTTTCCTTATTCAATGGATGTCATCACTTTGTGTCCTATGTCCCCTGACAGCATTAGTTGGCTGTAAGTTGCAGTTGATGTAACAGTCGATCAGCAAAGGATATTCCAGTTTTAACTTATTCAACTCGAGTAATGTATACAACACTGAAATATCCCTGCGAGTAGAAGATACATCATTGATTAAGAGAACAAGACAGTGTTAGTAACTTTCTGGACCACGTGCTGTTGCCATAGCAGTGCAGGAACCAAATAATGAAAATGAAAAAATAATAATAAAAAATGAAAAAAATCATGATCATAATAGAGAATAGAAAATGCATGATATTATACAAGTGTAACATCATTTTGCTTTTTATTGCTCAATTCCAAGCATGCATTCTTTGTCTTCAGTAAAGTACTGGACCAAGTAAGTTAAGCAACTTAATGTAATCATACATAACTAGTTAAAACGGTTTAACTGATTTAAATTTGATCGAAGTTAATCTAAAATTCTTTATCTGTCTGAGAGAAGTTATTTTAATATCCATTAAGTTTTCTTCTGAGCAGACGAACCACTCAACATTTATGCTTAATATCTAAATTTTTGTTACTTTGCTAACTTCTTTATGCATCTGATCTTTTCCAAGTGGGTACGAAGTAAGTTTACATATTTGTAGCACTAAAATCTGGAGTTCGATTCCCTGTGGTGTACAGAATCTATTGTGTAACTCTGTGCTAAAAAACAGTAACAATAGCGATTATTCAGTTTGTCAAAATCTCCTTTTGTAATATCCAGCATTGTAGGAACTACTGTTCATGATTGCTTTGAAAGTGAGGAATATCATGGATCATCGGCAGAATTTATCTTTGAGGGTTTAAGCTAAGAATAATCTTTGGAATGGTTCATAATAAAATTACTGCGCATGATGAATGATCAAAAAGCTATTTAAGGTTAATGTCTTTGAAGAACGATAAGACTTTGGCAAGTTGTTTTTTTTTTTTAATAAGATTATTAGGAGAGTCTGGTGTATTTTACTTTTCACTGAAAGCACCCAATAGTAAAACAAAATTACAGCTCTTTATGTACATTTGATTTTCTTAGAAACAAACCTGTTTCATTGTTAATTGTATTTGATTAATAAAGGATCTTGAACCCTTTATATCACACAAATTGCCCGCAATTGCCAGTAAACTACTATTTTAAAACTTTGATATTATAAATAGTTCATTTACATTGTACCTGTACTGGGTATGTTAGCTATAACATTGAAAATATGCTTTATATTTTTAATTTCGTTAATCCCCAATCTAATTTACCTAACTACACCAGCCCAATTTAGTTAGCTTACTGAGGATTGGCTCTTTTCTAAGGTACATTAGAACTTATACGTGAATAGCATTCAGATACATAAATATTAGGCAAATATTCGCAAATACTGGCTCCTGAAATATTATGCAGAAAATAATATAAACACAGACACCATATGAAGTACAAATGCATACAAATATACAAATAAATGAACATTTATTAATATAACAGAATTTAAATACATATCTTACTGATTCACAGTAAAGATTGCAACTGGTTGATGGGAAAAAAGAGGACATTTGAACATGTACAAACAGGACAAAAACTGGAACCAAGATGACATCCACAAACATACAGAAACGCCAAGCTTAAGTCAGACTGGACAATTCTTAGGTTATCTACTATGGTATTCCAAAGTATAATAATTAACCTGAGAGATAAGAACAGTAATTACAGGTAACACGATCAATGGCAGAAAAAATATTACGGAAATAAATCTGGATATTTGACTGTGACGTGTTAAAGAAAGAGACAAAACACAACGTAAAAACCAAAGTAAAAAGTTATCTTCCGTATAAAAACTTAAAATAAACAAATTTACTATACTCAAGAACAGAAATGTGCTATAAAATGGAGAGACTCTCACTAGAATGAATTTTGGATGCAATTCTACTGAAAATATGGATCAGTTCTGAATAAGATTGAAAGATTGAAACGTTTGTATATAAAAAACAATAGCATAATCTATTCCATAGGTTATGGGGGACCAAAGTCACTGATCGTTCCACCAGCAAAACAAGGAAAACATATACAAATTTATATACTTCTATAAAAATGTCTTCTATGGGAAAGCTTTTGATGATACAAAACGAAAAAAACAAAAAACAAACCTATTTTCGATCAGAGCAGGCTGCCTACTTAGATAAACCCGATAGAAAGCACAGATAATTACATACATCGTTCTTACTTATAAAGATTAGAATGCATTATTTCATAAGTTGGGTAATTTAGATGTTAACGATATTTTCTGCCATAAACTCAACAAGTAAATTAGGCAATCACAAGTTTTAGGCATTCCAGAGCCTATCCTTTTTATTAAAATTATACGTGAAACAAAACAAGAAACGCTCACCTAATTAAATTTAAAAAAATGAAACACTTAGAATGCGTTGAATGCTACTGTACTTCAGCGATCATTCCCATTAAATATATTCAAGAGAGATAAGCCCCAACTCATACTAATTTTTACAAGCCTCTGTATCACCACTTAAAATGAGTAAGACTATACCTGAGAAAGGCATAACACAGAAAAAGGACCATACAAGTACAAATCTATTGAACAATTATTGTCATCTAAGAAAGGTGATCAGTAAAAGTTTACGACCTTCCAACATAGCTTACAGAGATGTATTAAGTACATGCAGAACACTTGAACGAAAACTTAGGAAGAATTACCTTAATGTACATGAGTAAAGATGTATTTTATAGTACTTATGGCAGTATAGATATTGTATTAAAACCTTTATTACATAGGCTATCATAATGCATTTTAAAGGCAACAATGTCTAAACATAAGCATACCAAAATGTTTTTTTTTTAATAAAACACGAAAGACAATAAATACTATCGTAGTAATAAGTTATGTAGATATATTTGGAAAAGCCTTTTGTATAAGTGAAGAAATGTATGAAGAATACTAGATGTTACATTAGTTTATCTCTTTTTTTCAATCTGTAAAAACAAAAATTGACTTAATAAATTTATATTGTAGGTAAGCAATCTAATTCTATTTTTAAATAATTTTTGTTACTCCAAGCTTTAATAGATATGTAACTTTGATAGTAAACAATTCCCGATTCATGCCAGTTGTTCACAAGCTATCAGAAAATAAGTAAAACATCTAATATATCTTTCCTCCAGATGTCAGCATGCGTTAGTGTCATGGCGAAGTCTTCTACGGACAGGGCATTAGAACTTTTGCGATACCTTCCACGAGTGTCTTTGGGTAATCTCGGCCCAAATCCTAATAATAAAGCCCTAAGAAAAGTACGTACTTAACTGTTAAAATGTTAATTGATTTCTCCCAATATTTGATTTATGAATATTGTTAATCTTAATTTCTAAACAGTCAATAGTATTTAGTGTTACAAATACTATATTACAGATAGACTTGTTACTATTACTATTAGTAACAGTGGTAGTGTTACACAGTTACTGTGACTTAGCAACAAATGATTGTAACATAAATTGAGTTGTAACGTAAATTGGTTGACTTTTTGCTTCTTTAGTTTTTTTAAATTGAAAGTAAATTATTAAGATTCAGATGTTTTTTATCAAAAAGTAAATGTTATATTTCATAACTCAAAAAGTGACTTCACTGGTCTTAAAATTAATAAAGCTAATCTTTTACTAAGTATAACAAACTGATTAGATGTACTCAGTAATATATTAAAATCTTGACAAAACACAAGAAAAGTAAAGTTAGTACTTTGAAAACTAAAAGCAGTCTGTGATGAGGTATCTTTGAATTGTTATTAGTATTAAGTACTAGCATTAGTAAAGAAGCAGAAGTATTTAACTATAATATTAATTTTTTTTCCACCAAAGTCCCAATAATGTTTCACAAGATTTAGTTAGTCATAAATTCATATAGCATAAATAAACTAACAGTGCAAAATGCTTTCAGTAAGTGTAAAAATGAATTAAAAATATGTTTTCTAACTTATTTTAGATGTAACCAATATTATTAATGCAATTAACTATAGAAAATATTGAAGTATTATGTTACTTATAAAACTTTAAACACACAAAAATACTGCTGATGAGCTTTTAATATCTACACATCTTACCAATAGACAAAAATAAATATACTTTTATCTACTAGTAGTAATGCATAACCATGACTAAAAACAGAGTGGGAAATTTTGTAAAAGAAAAGACTGAAAAATCATAAAGAAGAACAACTAATGATTCTCTGGAGAATTGTACTGATGTCATGTCAGAATCATGGCAAATTATAACAACCATATGAACAATCTTTAAAATTGCTCTAGAAAATAGAAAGTAATCAATGAAAACCCATTTTTGAATCTTCCTGACTGTAATTTTGATTAGTTTGATACCAAAATAAATTGCTTCAACACATTACTGCTTAACTACAGAGTTGGGAAGATAAAGAGGAAGATATGCTTACACATAATATAGTAAAATAAAAAAATCTGTTAATTGTAAAATATAACTTTTATATTAGGTAGAGTGATGCAATAGAAGGAAGTTTCAGTAATTACAGAGAGTAATATATATCAACATATATCGTAGATTATCTCTGCACTTATTATATCATGTTGATATCTTCTCTTTAGTGCATTATAATGATATATAAATCATCACTAATCTATGATGACTGTCTTGCTCTAGAATTTACAGAAATGTTTATAAATGAGTCTCAGAACTCTTCTTCAACAAATGTATTTAATTTCTCTAATTTGTAAGACAATTACAAGGAATGTCTAAAACACAGGACAACACTTCTTAAAATTAACCAGTAGTATTGTTACAGCATATAGTGTAGTTACATGAAATAACTTACGAACATTAAAATATCATTGTCCATAGAAAAATCCTAAACCCACTTTTCATGTTTCAGGAAATCATTGATTCTCCTCTTAAACTCCTGTTAAGCACTTGTTTCTACTATTTCCAGTGACAACTTATTTTGGAATTTGTTACCAATCACAAAAATACGTACTACCAGTACAACAATGTAACTAGTATTTTTCTCAGAAAATATAATTCTTTTAATCTCTATAGCTGTTTTAAAAATTGTATAATTCTCATTTTCCTTCCTTAGTTACATGTGTGTAAAGTTGTAAACAAATCCAGTCATTAGTTAAACCAGGTCATTTTACATTATATCACCTTCACTTCATTTATAACTTTTTTAACCCCTTCTATGTCAAGTTTTTTTTATAAACTCAAAAAAGGCTGGTTTTTTATTTTGCTTTTTGACAGCCTTTTGTACTAAATGATAACATGCAAAGAATTAAGAATACAATGAGAAATGGTTTGTCCGAATTAACTTGGGCAAATCACAGAAGAGGTTAAATATTGGTATGTGTGGCAAAAAAAAAAGGAGTGGAATAACTTTTGTATTGCATTATAAACTTTAGTCTTAAAGATAGAAAGTAGGTCAAGTGTTAAAAACCAGTGTCAGTAATAAAGACAAAGAAATTACACAAATGGGTAAAAAAGTCAAACAAAAATATACATAGATGTAGAAACTATAAGAAAGGATAAACAGAACAGTAAGGTTTAATATCAAGTGTTGAACAATAAGGGGAAGCAAATAATGAGAAGCCATGGATTAGAAAACTGTGTTAATAGCAGCTTAATTATAAACTCAGTTGGTTTACATGGTTTCAATAATTGACTTAGGCTTGACTTGGCTGTTATTGATACTTTTTTTTTCAAGATACTTTTTTACTGTTTTGTGTCTTTTTTTTTCACCCTTGTCTTTATTACCTAGATTCCTTCAGCACTCTGGTAAATGTTTATATATTTTTGTTTATTGAACTACAAAATACTTCTAATGCATAAAAGTATCATAAGTTTTCAAAGGTAACATTTGTTTAAAACACTTTTTCTTAAGAAAAAACCTAAAAGGGGGCAATATGGAGGAAAAACTCATGGACATGGTACTAAAGGATCTGGTCAAAGACAAGGCTACATGAGAATTGGCATGGAATCTGGAGCTACACCATTTTATTTGAGAATTCCTTGTGAGCCATATCACAAAGGCCATCAGTAAGTTTGTTAAGCTTATCATATATTATTGTCACGATATAACTATATCTAGCATGTACGTGGAAATAAATAGCTTGCTCTGTTTGTGTAAAGAGTTTGTGTATTTTGTATTCCAAAGAAAGAAAAGTGCCAACTCAGCCATCCCTAAGTCACATAATACAGCTGTTAGACCCAATGAATTCCTTCATTAAGAACAGAATGGTGCTGGAAACAAACATTATTTTGAGTGTTTTGGATTATACTTAGAATATTTATTTTCACCATTGTCCTGTTGTTTTTTATTACTGACTTCCTTAGTATTTCATTCTGTTCATACTGTTAATTCTAGTTGCCAGGACTAGCTATAGTAATTAACCTAAATGTTGACAGCAACATTATATTGTAGTTTAACTGTCATAATTTAAAGAAATATTACTGTTACACACTTTTAGGCTGGAGTTTAAATAGAAAATTGATTCTAACTGAACAACACTTTGAGACATTAGATATGATCACTTTACACTTGCCTTATGTTGGTCCATGTTAGAAACTAGCACATACATTAAGATGTAATGACACTGTAGTGTGTGTGTCAAAGGGTCAAAGCTGTGGTTTCTTGTAGCTCTATATAATTTTACACATACAGATCAATGCTGATTGGGCCAGATAAGTTTATGTGCCTAGAGTTGCAAAAAATCAGTAAATATTCTCAGTAAAGCTGTACCTAGTTTACATAATTATAAAATTAAATTACTTGTTTAATGAGAAATAGGTTTTAAGTACTTCGAGGGAGAGTATATAATTTCCTTCCCAATTGTCTAGCAATAAATCTTCTTTTTTTGTTATTGTTAAAAGGTGTACCTCCTAATTTTGACCATTTTTTCTCTTTACTTGACTATAATATATTGCTTTATCATACTATTTGCCAAAATTTTCAAAAATCTTAGATGGCAAGAAACTCGCTAGGCTTAAGGATACTTAAGTTCATTAAATATTTCAGTACCAGGTATAGTTTATAAATCACAGTGTTTCAATGAGACAATTGAATGACATTTTGGTACAACTAATGGATGATTTGAAGGCTTTTTAAGTGCATCATTAATATAAGAAACATAAGTCATATTGCTTAAGGATGTCAGATTTTATTCTAAACTTTATTACTTTGAAATGACTATTTTTTTTCAAGGTTACACAGAAAATCTTGATGAAAGAGCTAAGAGAATGTGGCACTACATCAGCTAATATAAAGTAAATTTAATTTATACCAGTGGGTAGAGGTAATTTACAATTACTAGTTAAAAAGGTAAACAAAAAATGGTATTGTTGGTGATCTATCTCAGCATTTAAAACTTAAGGCTTTTTTCAAGATGTTTCTTCTCACAAACTAATCCAGATTGGCTGCAATTTTTGGTGCATATGTTTTAATTATTTTTACAATAGATGGCACTGTAATCTGGATTTAGAAGCAGTTGATATATGGCAATGATAACAGTATCAGTATTATAATAATTCATCATCCAAGGGAAAAAAAAAATTACTTTGCTTGCAAGAGAAGTAGGTAAAGTATACTATATTGTGAAGATTCTGTATCTACATTTTACTGATATTATTTTACTTTTGACTTCAGTCTGCAGGTTTTTGTATTCCATCACCTTGCATGCTTGCCATTTTAGCTGAGGGAGATGGGGGTTATAATGTGATGGTTAATGAACATAACTATATCATTGTGGTTTGCATGGGTTTCATTAGTAAAAAGTGAAAATTATTAATATTTTATATCTTTCTGATTTCCCTAGAGATTCTCTGCAGCTCCCTTGGAAAACACTGTTTTTTAAATTTTGAATTAATAATAAATTAGGTTAAGCAATGGCAGATTTCTGAAGATATTGCACTGATCTATAGATTAATTTTGTTTTTGCAGCTTGAGACGTCAGTATCCACCCTTGTCACTCAAGCAACTGCAGCTTATGATCGATACAGGCCGATTAGATCCCTTGCAACCAATTGATCTTACTGCTGTTTGTAACACCTCTTTGTATTTCCTTGATCCTAGTGAACGACATTTTGGAATTCAGTTAACTGATGAAGTAAGCCCATATTGAAAATTTCTATAAATAAATTAGTTAATTCACTCTTTTTTTTTACCCTAATTTATCATTAACGTTTTTTATAATTAACATTTTTCTAGTCTGACATCATGTAAAAACTATTAATTTTCTTAATAAAAGTCATAATTTTCTTCCGTGTTTGAGTCAAAAAAAACATTACATGTTTTGTGAGTACTGAATAATAATCAAATCTTTATAACTAAAGTGTGATTTCAATTTTAGCAAATTTTTACTAGATTTATATTACATTCCACAGCACCAAGAACCAGGTAGTTTTGTTTTTATGTTTCAAAGTTCTGAGGATGCAATGCTAATTTTACCTGTTTGTATTTGTTTGTACAAATGTTACATAGCAGATCATCATCCCCTCTCATCCAGTAGACTGTTGAACAACTGTACTTGTGTACTTACATTTTAAGGATAAAATATCAATAAAAATACTTGCTATTCCTTACTACTGTTTTTTGCAAGTCGTAGCTTTCTGGCTCTTGAAATATAAAGTGTTGGCCACACATCTGTGATATATTGTAGAAAACATTGATCACTCTTGGTAAATAAGATGAATAAGTTTAGTTGTAAAGTAGCTTTCAGTTTTCTACGAAATGTTATTTTTTGGGGTAGGTCATATTTTTGAGACAACTTTTCCTTTACTGTATCCAATTTTAAAATTTTTCCATTTAGTTTAAGGTTTTCTACAAAATGATAAGTTTTCTGATCATTATATATATTTTCTTTAGAAATATTTATGAGGGTTTTTACATGTGTACTGACTGTTAATTACTCAATTCTTAACAGGGTCTTGATTCATTTAAAGCTCAAGTAAATATAGAGGTTCAGCATGCTCCTGAACCAGTTATTGCTGCAATAGAAAGGAATGGAGGCTTGATCACCACTGCATACTATGATGTGGCTAGTTTATATGCAGCCATGGATCCACTTAGATTTTTTAAAAAAGGTAATAAGTGGATTTTAAAGAAACTGTTCTTTACCTACTACAGGTAGTTAAAAGTGCTGATGAACTTTTGTTATATTAGAGATTATTATAGTGATTTTTTATTTATGTTTCATTTTTATCTACCCAAAAGATAAAATGTTTTTCGGTAAGTCATATGCTCCCCTCTTAAACTCTTTTAAAGTGTCAACAACTCAATTTCCATAAGCCAGTCACTTTGCTAAAAAAAAGTTAAACTCTTCTTAACTGGAGCCTAACTTGTCCTTTTCCAAATCCTTAACTTCTGTCCTCTCATCTTGATGTCTTCAGTCTCCTTTATCCTATCGATCCCCTAGATCATTTAGAGTTTCAAAAAGATCACCTCTATCCTTTCTTTTCTCTTAACCCTTCCATTGTTAATATAATTCTAGAAGCTGTCTTCTGTATTCTTCCCAGTAGGTCAATGTCCTTTTTTAGATGAAGAAACTAAAACTGTACACAATATTTCAAATAAGGCTTAACTAGAGATAAATACCTCTTTGACTTCTGATCAGTGTGTGTCTATAAGTACTTCCTAAAATTCTTTTAGCTTTACTGTTAGCACCAGAGCATTGACTCAAAGGCTTGAGTGACTTATTCACCACTATGTGAAGATCTTTTTCTTCGACACTGGATTCCCATCTATATTAAATGTGTGATCCAAAATATGACAACTAAGATGCATTATCTTGCATTTAACATGATTAAAGGTAATTTGCCAAATATCTGTCCAAATGACCAATCGATCCAAGTCAATTCTGTAATACCTCAATATCCTCAATACAGCTAGAAATACCCAAGAGTTTAATATCATCAACAAACTTTACTATTTTACTAACTATATATATATATATATATATATCCTTATTAGTATCATTAGTTTAATAAGAAAAAACAAATTCCCAAGCACTGAAGCCTCAGAAACTCCACAAGTAACAAGTTTGACTGAATTCTATTAATAACAACCTAACTGGCCTATAATTTCTGAAATAACTCTTATTATCTTGTTTAAATTAGGGAGCAACATAAGCAAATCTCCAATTCTTAGGCACCTGCCTATCAAAAATGAAATAAAGAGAGGTTCTTATATCTCATCTTTTATCTCCTTTAAAACTCTTGTCTGGGCCTCCACAACACAAACGTTCTTCTTCAGTCTCACTACAGTTTGATTGCAGTTCTTAAAGGTACAGTAACTTCTGAAGGCTTACACATTTTTGTAGCCTAAAATTTAAGGCACACATAGCCAGTCATTTTTGCTCTCTGGGCAAGTTTCAAGAACTCCCCCTTTTTTTCGTGGCTTGTGCATGTCAGTCTGCGGAGGTTTCATGTAGTGTACTGGACTTTAGGTCTGCCTAAGTACCATACCATACTAAATAGAGCAAGTTATCTTTCTTAATTTGGATGATAAGTTTAAATGGTAAGTTTTTCTTTTTGCCCTCCAGTCCATATATTTTTGCATAAATTATTGAATAAAAGGCTTAGCGCTCAGACTGCACCCCTCTTCCGGCTGTGCCCTGGGCAACTGCCTCTCCCACCCTGTCCTAGCTACAGCTCTGGGCACACACATTATTTACTTTTAAGCTTACAAAGTGAACTAGGAACAATTTGATTGTTTAAAGAGTTTGAGGAGGGTATTTAGGTAAGAAACGACATTTATTTTGAGGAGGGTATTTAGGTAAGAAACGACATTTATTTTGAGGAGGGTATTTAGGTAAGAAACGACATTTATTTTGAGGAGGGTATTTAGGTAAGAAACGACATTTATTTTGAGGAGGGTATTTAGGTAAGAAACAACATTTATTTTGAGGAGGGTATTTAGGTAAGAAACAACATTTATTTTGAGGAGGGTATTTAGGTAAGAAACAACATTTATTTCCTCCTTTAAACATCTTTGATGAAAACAGATGCATTAAAATTAACATTTTTCCTAATGACTATCATGTATATGAAACTCCACTATGATTGTGATAAAAGAAATATCATATTAATTTGACTGTTTCCACTATGGATATGATAAAAGTATACCACATTAATACAACAATTACAGCTATGAATGTGATAAAAATGTACCACATTAATACAACAATTACCACTATGAATGTGATAAAATGTACCACATTAATACAACAATTACCACTATGAATGTGATAAAAATGTACCACATTAATACAATAATTACCACTATGAATGTGATAAAAATGTACCACATTAATACAACAATTACCACTATGAATGTGATAAAAATGTACCACATTAATACAATAATTTCCACTATGAATGTGATAAAAATGTACCACATTAATACAATAATTAACACTATGAATGTGATAAAAAATGTACCACATTAATACAATAATTAACACTATGAATGTGATAAAAATGTACCACATTAATACAATAATTAACACTATGAATGTGATAAAAAGGTACCACATTAATACAATAATTAACACTATGAATGTGATAAAAATGTACCACATTAATACAACAATTAACACTATGAATGTAGATAAAAGGTACCACATTAATACAATAATTAACACTATGAATGTGAATAAAAGGTACCACATTAATACAACAATTACCACTATGAATATGATAAAAACGTATTACATAAATACAACCTGTAATCATTAAGAGTTGGACTTTCACACTTTTTCATACTTTTATGTCATGATTTAGTATTAATGCTTCATTCCACCAAGTGTTTATTGACAGTTAACAGATTCACTTTGGTATGTGATAGCATGTGCTTTCTCTCATGTCTGTTAGTGACAATTAAAATGGCATGTTGAAGACAGACAACTGATGATGGTAAGGTGCACGTGTAGATGATTCATTTAAGAACACAAATTAATCTTTCAAGAAGCTGTGGGGGCAATCTGCAATATTTTTCAGTAAGAATAATAAACATACAACAATACTGCTATTGTGATTATAATCAGTTATATTTGTTATAACACAATAGCATTAGATTTATGGTATTTTTTATTTGGATCCTTCATCAGCAATGGATGTAGTGGACATAGTGTGGTTGAAATACTATTTTTCTTGGGGGGGGGGACACTTTAGGGAACAAATGTGGTGTTTGAAAATCAAATAAGCTTAATAAGTTAATTATAATTATTTATAATCAGTACTCTTGCTGTGGAGGATAACTTTTAATACCCAGAACTTATAGTTGATTAGCAATTAGCTCTGAATGTTAAGGTAGACAACACAGAAATTGTAGAAAAAAGGTAATATGATAGCTGTTTTATACCTTTGTCATCTAAATATTATGAGAGTGACTTTGGCAGATAGAATGTTGTGATTGTAATTAAAATCTAATTTCCATTATCATTTAAACTTAAAAAACAAAAATATTTGATATAATCTTATTGCTATCTAACATTCGTGATGCCATCTGTGTTTGTTTTCTAATTTTTCTCATTACCTTCAGAATCATTCATGTCGGAATTCAACATTTCTTGCTAAAATGTTAGTTATATAATTCTTAATTTGTATAATGTCTACATTTTCCTAAAACCAAATCTAGAAAAGAAGCTCTTAAGTCATAAGAAAGCTGAATTCAAACTGATTCAGTAGTAAAGATATGTCAAACGGCAAGTTAGTTATTACCTATCTACCTTTACCACATGTCAAACATCATTTTATAGGATAGACATCTTCCACTAGCAACTAGTTGTAGTACAGACTGACAACTATGTGTGTAATAGTTCTTGCAAATTTAAGATCAAAATTAGTAAAATCAGCCAATTTTTAATTAGCAGATTCGAGATTAGTTTCAAATTGTTTGTAAATTCACAAACATGAGTAAATACTAGTAACATTTGCATATGAGATTAGCATAGCCATATCATAGGATTTTTATGTATAATGCAAGTTGCAAGAAAATAGTATGTTACCTAAGGAACTCACTCGTTACATATTTCAAAAATCAAGTCGGGGTTTGCAACAGTACAAGATTGCCGGTACTGGTACTGACTGGGTACTGCTGGTATAGGTACTCGAGCATCCCTGATCATGTGACTCGAGGAGTTAGAAACTCAACTATTCTTCCCAGTGTGTTCTCGTGGGAAAGAAATTTTCACATCAAACCAAAGTGTCAATTATCTGTAAGCCCATGTAGTAAGATGACTATAGCAAAGAATCAGTTAAAATCTAGGTTTTCTATTGGTTATAAACTTAATGGGAGTCAGCCTCAGGAAAATCTATTAGCAAATTGTAAATTGGTTTGTAAAGTGGTTTCTGAATATTCAGTGATTGCTCTTTAGTCCCATAAGATTGAAGAATATAAAAATATAACTTCAGAAAATTGATGACAAAATTATAGAGAATATTTTACATTACATTTCATAGTTTTCTGGGGGGGGGGGAAACTCAGAAGAGGAGATGACTCAAGAACAAATATCCAAATCCTCACACCAGGGAAATTTGAGGTGGTTTTTAAATATTTGCTCATACAATTAAGAACTTAAAACTTATATAATATTAAAATTTGATTTATTATCTTTGGTTTGATGTCAAATTTGTTCGTATACCATGGTAAATTAAATTTTGAATGTAACTCACTAAAACATTGTGACATGCGCAGTTTGACCTGCCCAGATACTATAGATTAATCATGCACGTACTTACCTAATGTGCAATCAGTCACATAGGTACATTCATGTTCTCTTCCAGAGCGTGGGAGTCGCCCATTTCTCATATTTTATGCTATTGTCAATTTTCACTGTGAGATTCACTTATTGACTTAAGTATGAACTCAAAACTACCATATCAAACATTTATAATTTTGTGAAAAGCGAAGCTGAAATACCAGAGGAGGCATTCGGTCAAAACTCTGAAGATGGGACATGTGATAACAGATATTATTTTCAACATATTATATACTATAAACCAGTACTGGTACCGCTGTTACTAATGGCTTGGTACCAACTGCAAGCACTGAATCAAGCTAAAGTCTACATTCAAATTTTCTGTTATTTAACATTTGCAAGTGATGTATTTCTTCATTTATCATGCTGCCTAGTGAATCAGCTGAAATCTGGGGTTTGATTCCCTATGGGGGACAGAGAACAGAAGATAGCCTATTTTTTTCTAGAAAAAAAAAAGATAACATCAGTTGTATTTTCTCAACTTATGTACAATTAGTTTATTTACAATCAAACTCAATGCTACCAACAGTGTCGTATTTGCTTTAGTGCTGATCATAAAAAATATGACATGCACACCTTCATTGAGTATGTAGTTGTATAGATGTTAATCTTTTAATACAAAGGAGTAAAAGAAAGTAAATTTTTGTGGATTTGACCACGATCCAAATCTTAATTCAAACCACCAGTCCACATACTATAAGATGTAGGTGTGAAGAGTAGAGTCAAATGTGAAAGATTTGTGTTTAGTCATTTTCTTGGTAATTTCTTTCAGAGAGTATTTTTTAGGGCCCCACAGGGGCTCAGCTGTAAGTCTAAGGGTTTATAATGTTAAAATTTGGGTTTTGATATTCACAGTGATACAGCACATGGTGTTGATTTGTGCTTAATAACAAAAAACAAAACTATTTTTAGTATAGTTTCACTCACATCTTTGTATAGCTTATATCCATTAATGAGCTTCACTTTATCTTCTCACCATTAAATACTATGATAGCAATAACACTAGTGCTCTCTTACTTGTACGGTTTAGGAGTTGTGGTTAAATTTCAGACTCAGAAGTCAACAGTTTATAATGAGTTACAGGCAATGATATGATAGTGATTCAGTAAATTGTCTTCTCTGAGTTTGAGTGCATGAAGAAGATTGGCTGCTGTCACTTTTAAACAGAGATGTCTTGATAGCAATGAATAAGGGGACAGAAAATTCATTATTTGCTAAAATATACTTAGTAATGTAATAAACTTTGTATGAAGATGTCACCAAGGGTTAAGAACCACTGGATCCATGAAAGCCACAACACCTTCTCTGTATTTACACACCCTAGGCCTCATGGTACAAATACCTATCATCTTTGCCTCTTATATTTAGGTTAGTCTATCAGTAGAAATAATATAAATCCTAATTTTGTTGTAACTGAATTTCTTAAATGCATTAACTTTAGGAGCTTTGGTTATTTTATATTGAACTTCAACAAAAACCAATTCAAAATAAATGTAGGACAGTAGAAATCTGTCTACATACTTATCTAGTTACAGCTCTTGTGCAAATTCATGTCTTGTAGCTACTTTCAGTTTCTACTCTGAACTCAATCCTCTATACACTGACGTATTTCAACTTGATTAGTTTCAGAATGTTTAAGATTTAGAGAAACATGATACTGCCTACTGATGAGATTATTTTTAACTGTGAGTCTACCTACACGTGTTTCATTAATTTTAACTTCAAGTATGAAACATGCTACTCCTAATATGATGAAGTAATAATATAATGCTATGATATAATTTAACATTTGTGCGATGCATTAAGTTTTTCCGAATGCTAAAGATTATAATTTGGAATTGGTTCGATTTCTAACAAATATTGGGATTTCTATATTTTTTATTGTTTTGTACATTTTTATTGTTTAATACATTCTGACAGTCTAAACTACTAAAATTAACAATGTATTTTTTCAGAATTAATACAAAAAATGTTTAAATGTTCTTTTCCAATAGTATCAATATTTGATCCATACCAACTAAAATAATTATGTAGGTAGGAGGAGGTGTAATTGAAAAATAAAGAAATTATAATTCAGAGTGATTTAGTTTTTTAAAATTGAATTCAAAATTAAGTGTGAGGTTGTATTACCCATATTCTATCACAGCTTTTTACACACTCTACAGGAGTTCCAATACCCAAAAGACATCTACCTCCAGAAGATGCAGTGGAGTATTACACAAACCCTGCAAACAGAGGTTACTTGGCTGATCCTAGCAAAGTTGCTGAGGAAAGATTTTCCTTGGCTCAAAAGTATGGCTATCAATTACCCAATATTGCTGAAGATCCAAAGGTTTGTAAACAATAAAATACAAAAACATGACTATAGAAGAAGAAAAAAAAAACTCGGTTTTTTATGGAATGTTTTTATGAAATAGTTCCCAAGTTTTGAATTACCCAACTTACAGATTGTACTTCTTGACAGGCCTATATCAAAATTAGTGTTTCTAGCCTTTCTTATCTGTACTTACGCTTATTAGTTTTTACATTACTTGAAATATGTGTTTGTACTATACAGTATTTTCTCTGTAATATTTTACTTTGTCAGTCAGGTCACAACTCAAACGTTTCTAGCTTGTCTTAGATATTCCAAGTTTCAGTGGAATGAATTGAGGAAAGTGAGAAGGAAAGCTGTTTCTCAGACCGTGAATCAAAGGGTCTGAGGAAAGTGAGAAGGAAAGCTGTTTCTCAGACCGTAAATCAAAGGGTCTGTGATTCAAGATGTAATGCAACAAAAGATGTCTCACGCTTTCAGTTGTAGATGTGTTATAAAAGATACAGTCAATCCTGTTATTCAGTCTAAAGAGCTGGACAAAAGCCTTGTGGTGGTGGGTGCTGTTGACTGTCTTCCCTCTAGTAAGTAGTTCAAAATTAAGGACAGCTATACTTGGGAGCTGGAAACCTCTGACCTGACTGCATAGCCCATGTGTGTATAAGGAAGTGAAAACATAAAAAAATCCAATAATTACAAATGTACATTAAATCTATTCTTTCATTTGTGCAAATAACTACTTCGATTTTGTTGTTTCTATAGCTACATGACTTTTTTTATATACATTTTTGAATTACTTTTTAACATGTTTGTTCGTAGAAGAGACATATGATCATAATTAGTTTGTTTTCCAGTGGGAACTTCTTACCCTGAGGAAAGATCCACGTCAAATTTTCTACGGACTCGAGCCTGGCTGGGTCGTCAACATTCGTAAAAAGAAAATTCTTAAACCCAAAGATGAACAGCTTCAAGAATATTATAGATCATGAAAAATTTCAACAGGGCCATAGAAAACAATTTAGATTAGTCTGGTAAAAAAAAACGTTTTGAATATTTAGCAGTTTAGTGTAAAGAAATAAAGTTTTGTAAAATTGATTTCTTATGAAAATTTATCTTATATTTCAGATACAAGTTACACTACTGCATATGTCTAGCATTTGTGTTATACAAGACAAACATTGTTCAAAAGTTGTCTCTTTATTCTTTTTTAAAATTTCGCATGAAACCATTTTAAGTCACTTTACTTAATGTCAGTAGAAGAAAAGAAGGCCTCTTCCCCCCCAGTGGCACAGCGGTATGTCCGCAGACTTACAACAGTGTTTTGATACCCGTGGTGAGCAGAGCACAGATAGCCCATTATTTAGCTTTGTGCATAACTACTAACAAACAAAGAAAAAAAGAAATATTTTTTGTTTGATACTTGAAGGTTATTTCTTTTTTTTTTGCAGATATACATAATATAATAGTTTACAGACATGTAACTAAGAACTTACCAGTTTGTTCTATTACATTGAAAAATGTCATGTGCATTTTGTTTTTTTATCTTTTATTAAAATTGAGTTCATTTTATAAGTTACAATGGTCCTTGTAAGAGGGAAATGTTTCTTTCCTAATTTTTATTACCCCAGAAGTGAAAAACTTATATTTGTGATCACAGCTTTTGACTATTATTACATGTAAGTAAATTGGACTGAAAACTGAATTAGTTTACATAATTAATGATCCTGAAGTTTAAGTTTGTACATTTTGAGCCAGTTTCTCAGTTCATGAATAAGAAACAACTTGGGATTCTGATAAACAAACGTGCATCAGACAGTATCTTCTGTGACTTCCAGAAAGTAATGCGTAATAGAAAGAAAAAAATTGTATGTTTTTATGATTGAAATTATTTTGATTTGTGAGTCTACTTGAAATGATTCTGAAATCAAGGCAAGGGGGAAGACACTTAGTTTTTTAAATGCCGTTATTCTTAACAGTAGTTATGATATCAGTATTTAAAAGATAAATATTGGGGGGGGCATGCTGAATATTAGAAAATAATCTGAAAAACAACTGGCAAAGATCACTAATCACCAAAAATACTTAACCAAAAATGTGTTTATCTTTTTAACTGTATTTTTTGTATTGTATTCATTATTAGTCAAGCAGCTACAAGCAACTGTGACTTAGTAGTGGCTTTCTGTGCTTTAGTAGTGAGGCTACAAATTATGTGTAAAGGCTCATCTCAATCATTAATTTGTAGTTGGTGTATTTTGTATCTCTTCATGCTTATGTGACAGAGAGCTTACATTAATCTATTTATTTAATTTTACAAACTTTCCATATTTTGAAGCTATAACTGATTTTATAGTCTTCCTTATGTGCCTTATCATGCTTTTGCAAGGCACATAAAGTCAATGCTTTTACCCCTGGTTCCTTTGGCACAAGCAGATAAGACTGGTGACATTACCCTTGATGGAATTACAACTTTTTACGGGTTAATTCTCCCTCGGCTAGCCAATGATATCCACTGCACAGCTGGATAGACTGAAGTAAGATGTGTAAAGGACACAACATGTCTTGAGTAAACCTCCAATCTACATTCTTTTAACTACAAATCCAAAGCACCAAACACTAGGCCATGCTACCGGCAATTTGTGATATGTTGGGCATTTATCTCCCATAATTTCTTGGCTGTTTTATGTTTAAGTGTTTGAGAGGAATTTGGCAAGCCTCTTGAAATTTTATTTGTGGACGTGCTCCATCCAAAGTTCCTTGAAAACACTGAGAGACCAGATTCCTATACCTTCTTTAGCTGAAGGTGGCCAGTGGAACAGATATGGTAATCAAAATGGCAGAAATTATAATTGTGATTGGGTTTAAGCTAACACAAAGAATGCAAATATAGAAGTGGAAGAAGAAGTGCATGATTCACACAGAAACCCTGAAAACGTTTAATTTCGAAATATTTCACATACATGCTGTTTCTTACTAGTTTTGAAATTAGTTTTTTGGAATACAAAAGGGAAATGTAGGTTAATTTTTTTTTAATGTTATGGAACACTTTAAAGCTGTGAGCAAAAACATATTTTTTTGGAGTGAGCATGGTGACAATTTCTATAATTTTTGTTTTTGTCATTTTTAGCATTATGTGCAATTTACATATACAGAGACATTTCAAAAGTAAATAGACACTATGATTTCTTCTCAATAGTAATTTATCTCACATTATCAACTTGACAAAAATGTTTACAAATGTGCATCAGTACTTAGTAAATTTGCCACTAGCATTTTTCAGTGCTTTGACTGTTCTGGCATGGAATCAATGAGTTCTGCAATTTTCTTCAGTAGGATCTTGATCCAGGCTGCACACAAAACATCAAGTAGCTCTCATCGGGACACTGGTTTTCTTGAACTTTTTCTCACTGCTCGAGCAAGTATGGCCCAGACATACTCGATGGGGTTCATATCAGGTGACTGACTTGGCCATCGGAGCCATTGGAAGCCTTTCTTAATTAAATGACTATTGAATAAACATCATGGTGTCTATTTACTTTTTAGATGTCTCTGTACATACATGCATGTGTATGTATACAGGTACTACATGTGTCTCTGTACAACTCTATATTTCAATATCAATGGATGCTAACTTAATTTTTGCAATCTATAACAACTAATATTTATTTTATTAAAGTAGATTAGTCACATAAATACAGTAATTCTAAATTTAACTGTCAATCATATAGAACTGAAAGAAAACATTTTAGTAATACTTATTTATTAAATGCCTAAAATAATTCCTTTATTAGGCTTCTATATTATTTAAACGATCTTTAATTTTATAATTTGAAATTAATCTTCTAGTGGACAGAAATTTTAAATGGAAAATGGCAGCTATAGTACAATGATATAAAGTTGTATGATCAAGACAGATCAACAAAAAGTTCACTTTGAAAAGAAGTGATTTGATTGGATGCAAAGCACACTAATAGATTGTAAAACAATAACAGTATAATGAGAGCTTAATACAAGTTAACATAAACATTACCGATGAGGGCCAATGGCTTTCTAAATCTTTTACACCAAAATGTTTATGGATCTATGACTTTGCTGAATTGAGGGCCTCTAATAACAAGCCACAAAAGTGTTTAAACAAATAAACCCTCAACACTTAAATTAATTCTGCTACTTAGTTCTGCAATTTCCTACGTATTTTAAGGAGAAAATGGGTGATATCACCCAATTTGATGCAATTACATGAATCACAAAGGTAGTGAATGTGTATAAATATAATTTGAGGAATAATTTTTATTCTATATACAGTTGTATGCTGCCATACTAGTTTTTTTGTCTCCATATTTAGTAAAGCGGACTCCTATATAATTCAAAGTTTTCAGAATTGTGTGCAAGTTCTTTCCATCCTAGTTACCTATTGTTCTGGGTCATTCGCCTATGGTATCACGTCTGCTTTCTCTTTGGAAAGATTACTGTAAAGTAGAACCATAGATGTTCCAAAGCTTTAGTATGGCTATGAGTAGAAATGAAAGAAAAAATAGTTCATTTGTATTTAAGGAAAATTATATTTAGAAACATTAATACAAAGGATACGAATAGTTAATCAATTGTATTGAATTAGGCCTGGTATGCCCTAGTGGTTAGGGCACTATACTCACAGTCCATGAATAGTAGAATCGAAACTCGTCACTGAACGTGCCCTTTGAGCCGTGGGGACATAATAACGTTACTTTCAATCCCACTATTATTAGAGTAGCCCAAAGGTTATTAATGAGTAGTGATGATTTTCTTCTCTCTCTTTAGTCTGTGACTTCTAAATAAGAGACTGCTATCACATAGCTTTGCACGAAATTCAACAAACAAACAATACTTCATAGTTACCGGTCACGTGAATACCTTATTGGTCTAACAATTTGTACCTTCTGTAGTTCTAACTAAGAAAAAGACTATTTTATTACCTGTATATTGTATGATGGTCATGAGCTGCTGTCCTAACTTCTAAAAAAATGCGAGCGTTAACTCTCTCTGAACTGTCGCCTTCCTTTTATTCACCTTTCTCGCCTTCTTTAACGCAAAAATTACAATAAACTCTCAGAAATCTATTATAATTGAAAATATTTAAAATAAAATGGTTTTATCATTCTGGAACCCATATATTTAGCTAGTTATTGAATCTGTTCCAAGCCACATTCAAAGTTATTTTTTATTAAATACAGAAACATCTTCCCCAACCTTACAATTACTAGTATGTTCTGGTTAAGGGAATATAACCCTTTCCCCTGAAATAGTTAAACTGGTTATTACAAAAACAAGAAAGAAATTGCGCTCTGCACTTTGGGGCCCGGGATACATTATAAGAGAGACGATCAAACCGCACAACTGGGAACTATTAACTAGCTGCCTTCCATCTTGTCCATCAATTCCAAATTAGGGACGGCTGACACAAATAGCCTTTGAGTAGTTTGCGGGAACATTTGGAAAAACAAAGTTATTTACATTTTTTTGCAATTTCTCGTTATTAGATACATGTTTTTAGCAGTATTATGTCAAGTGTGCGTCTGATGATAGTGATTTATTTTTTAATAGATGTACACAGGATTAAGTACATTTTATAAGAATGCTAATGCAATGGCTTGTCGCTGCAGATGCAAGCCTTCCTGGGGTCACGGACATCATGTCACAGCCATTTCGGCGAAAAGATATTCGTATAACCAGATTGTTAAATGATGCAGAGCCAAAGGGCCTTCAGTATACTCTATAAAAGTAAAAACACTCGCATTGAAAAACGAGTAGGATGGGATCTGGCTCTGAAACACCATCACAAACCAATCTCAGCTATAGCCTTCATCTTCAAGATTACGAATCAGTTTCCGATCCAAAAAAAAGAAGCCACTGTGATAAAGCTGGGCTATATCCTAGAAGCATTAAAATATAACATAAAGATCATTGGTCAAAAGATCTCAAGCTGCCAGCAGCCACACCTTGAAATCTGCAGCTGTTTTCATGATTAAGATGGTAAAAAAAACTGGGATTACAGAAATTCCAATCGACCACATATCTCTCACTTCCATCACCAGCTCCAATGGACTTTGTGTTTTTGGTCTGCTTAAACGTGATCTTGAAGCTGGCGCCGTAGATCCGATGAACACCCATATCAAATTTCGTAAAGATTCATCAACAGGGGGCGAAGTAATGGTAAAAAATTGCAAAAACGCCCTTAAAAACCGCAAAATACAAAACTGAAAAGTTGTATGGACCTAATAAACCTTCATACCAATTTTGGTAAAGATCCATCCATACCCTGCGAAATAGTTACATGGACAGTACTGTTTTATTCATATAGATTTCTTTTCCTGATTTATAATCATTGAAATTATTTTGTTAACTAACTTTTTACAGTTTTTTCAATGGATAACATTTTAATGTAACTTGCTCGAAGTTATGTATGGATGCAATACTAAATTTTGAAGATGTCGACAATGTCGGTGATGAGTTATTTACAAGAATAAAGTAATACAGTAAAAATACACTTTAAACATGCATAAAGTTAAAGCGTGCTCATTTTTAATAAATTGAAATGTGGAGAAAAATGGAATCAGAAAATATTTTTCACGTAGCTATTTTCGTCTGGAGTAATGAAGCAAAAGATTACTCCCAACATTTAGTACATTTTAAAGTTTAAATGATTTTACAAACACTTTTAGCTGTTTCATTCACATAAATATGCTTGCTATGTATCCACAAAACTACAAAACATTGGATATACTAAGCCTTAAACTATTTCATTTTTATTTCATGATGTTTTATTTACATGCTAGAGGAGTTTAGCACCGGTTATCCTCCTTATAAATAAGGAGTCCCATCGCAGCGCGTTTATTATTGAACAGTCCACTTAGCATGGCGCTGTCCCTAATTCCAAACCACCGGTCGGCTGTAACCACTTATTTTTTTTGTTTACTTTATTATTAATTATTATGTTATTTTTCATGATGTATTTATTTCCGGATAGTGGCTCCGAGATCCCATGGTTCACACCAAGTTACAGCCCAAATAAAAAAAGAATCACGCTCTGGACTTTGGGACCGTGGATGTGTTATAAAAGTGACGGTCAAACCCCAATATTCGATTACATTAGCCCACGAGATGGCGGAAGGTAGTGTTTACTAGTTTTCTTCCTTCTATTATCACTTCAAAATTAGAAACGGCTAACGCAGATAGCCCTGGAGTAAGTTTACATGAAGTCCAATAAACAACAACAACAGATATATATCTTTATTAATTTTTTGATTAGCAGTGGCTTCCCTCCCTCCAGTAATCTCTTCAAGGTTCTTCTAGTATATATTCTACTAATTCAAAATTTTCTACGAAAAATTTATCGTAAGGAGTTTAAACACAACTTAAATTCGCCTTTAAAAAATAATAATAAAAGGGAAAAGTGACAGGTAGATTGTACAGATCGCGCTGGTTTGGTGAATTCCTAAAAGCTTTATAAAGCTCTTTCAGGGTCTCTCAGTGGGCCAGCGGTAAGTATACGGATTTTTTTTGTAACGCTAAAATCCGGGGTTCGATTCCCCGGGCGGACACAGCACGTGGCTTTGCTTTGAAAGCAACAAACAAGATATTTCAGTAATTTCTAAGTTTTGAAATGCTCAAGACGATATATCTTTGAATATAGTGTAAACGGAATTAATCAATGAACATAATGTGTTAGCATCTCTTAATAGTGAGAAATCGATTAAATTTCTATTCTTATAATATTTTTGTCCAATGCATGATATTTCTTTTTACAGAATAGAAAGCTAAGTATTTTCTAGAATATAAAGTTAAAGATGGAATTTGAAGTGTGGTTTATTTGCATAGCATCCAAAAGTTAATATTGTGTCAATAAATTGTTTAATGTTGCCAGGTGTGTCACAGTGTCCTGTGAAAAAAGAACAGTAGCCATAAATTAATAGAGGTCGCTGCTATCGTAAATGGCAGATGTTGAGAGTGCAACAACTTCACTAAGCCTAAATTATTTAGCGTAAGACGTTATTGTTTTAGTGTTTCTCATTGTTAAGAGTGTAGTAACTACACATTATTCACAAAATAACATTGGGAAAGTCTTACTGTAAATACACAGTCACTTTATGTTATTCAGGTTTATTCATCCCCATGTTATACGTTCATCGAAACCTTTGCTTGGCGTATACTTAAAGTTCTAGTACAGTCCTTTCACCCAGTAACTAATTCTTTATCACGGTGATTGTATTATATCTCAGGAGAAAGTGATTAATTATATAGCTACAACCAAATTCATTATTCTGGTCTATATCCGTAAAATGTTTTGCTAAATGCCGACTACCATACAGAAATAGACGTTGGTATACCTTGCTTAAACTTTGTGAAAGGTATCCCTTGATTCATACAAAAGTTGGCATACTTTCCTTAAACTATGTGAAAGGCATTCCTTGATTCAGACAAAGAATGGCTTACTTTC